ATTTTTTTAGACTGTGGGTCTGTAACAATGAAATGTTTGGCTTCTTACGAGTGTGGGGGATTTTTTTCATTCTCTTCTCTTCTTCACTGGGATAACTGATTTGAAACTGTGGCTATGTTTTGACTTTGAAAAGTCCCTTTTCCACCGTTTGAAAACTACTGGGCATACGAAGGGGCCCTGCTGCTGTTGAGGCCACAATTTTCCCAGTGGCTTCCTGTGACCAGATTTTGTAAATGGTAAATGAGGGAGTGGGAGGGCGGGGGGGGGGGGGGGGTTACCAACCACTTAAAGCATGTCGTAAGTGGTGAGTAATTTAATTAGGGATTTGCTGAAATGAGATGTGTTAGGCAGAAAGACGTAGATATCGCAGCTTATCTATACACCACAACAGAACGTGCCAACCGCCATTTTAAAGGCGAACGCAGCAGAAGAAGAAGAAAAAGAAAAGAAAAAGAAGAAAAAGAAGAAGAAGTCACTATAATACCTCTAACCGTAACTTACTAAAACATTTCCTACTTTAAAAAAAAAAATATTATTATTATTTTAGAATTACACATAAAACTAGATCAATTTACAAATATGCCTTTTGAGTTAGGATTCAAATAAATGACTACTGGACAGAAGGACTAGATTGTTAGCCATTACTCCACCATAGCAGCCGTTTTGACATTAGGCTGAATTTGAGTGTTCATTATCTTATCTTCTTTTTCGATCCTTCTGTCAGAAAACGTGTTTCAGGAAGCTGGTAGCCTTTAGGAAAGTTATCGTGCAATCTATATCTTCGCGTGTGCCATACAGCTCTGTCTTCACTGTGATTGCAACAGGCCGGATTGTGTCTCTGTTCGCAGCACACCGTTGACAGTGGTGGAACTCATCCTCAGCATTTTGAGATGCCACAACGCTACCGGCACACGTCTCCGTGTTTTCTACATCAAAAAGTTTGAACATCTGTTGACTAAGTCTGTTGTGCCCTGCTCTTAGTCTTCTTCTTCTTCTTCTTTTGTGTTTGGTAGAGTGGGCAGGTCTGCAGAACGTGCTCAGGTGTTTGTGGTCAGGCGCACTGTTGGGACTGTACAATCTTTTTTTAATGCATGTGGTAGTTGAGCCTGCAGTGTCCTGTTCGTAGACGGAAAATTGTTGTACTTTGCTTTCTGTTGAGTTTGCTGATGGGGTCTTGTGAATGTTAATTGTTGGCTTGTTCTCTTCTCCAATTCCTTGTATTTTCCTTTGATAAGTGTTTTGATTTATGGTAGTGACAATGAATGGGGGTGTTGTTCCTCCGTTGTTCTATTTTTTGCAAGTTTGCCTGCTAACTCATTTCCTGGTATGCCGCAGTGAGCCGGGATCCATTGGAGAATGATTTGATTGTTTTATGTAAATCTGTATAGCTGGCGGGTCAGTTCTCTCTCCCTGTTGTCTCGTGGATCCCTCTGAGTCGCCTGAAGGACTAACATGCATCCACAAAGGAAAACAATTTTGCTGTTTTTAATTTTTCTTTCCACGAGCCGTTTGGCTGAATCAATAATTGCTTGCTGCTCTGCTCTGAAGTTTGTTGAGAGTCTTCCGGAGGCGCATGACGTTTCTACTGTGGTCCCATCTTGCAGCATGATGACCGATCCAGCTACTCCATTTTATTTTTTCCTCCAATGATCCATCGGTGTATGCGTGTGTTTATTCAGGTTTCGGATAACAGTTGTAGACATGTTCAAGGGTCTTTGCATGCAGTACTAGGTCACATTCTTCAGCCCTTCTGTCTATGCCTGGAATTGTTGTTGTGACTGTATAGTTAGGTTGTAGGTCTATGCTGTATGCCTGGATCATTTCCCATGCTGAAGGATCTTTAGAAAGGATGACATTGTTTTCTGTGCAGTACAATTCTGATAGATGGTAAAAGCTTTAGTCTGAATATAATACACTTTACCTCTCTAGAGAGGCGATGAAGCGAGGATAAAATTATGTGTGTATCCAGCCACTTTTCTCGAATGCTAGATAGTATTATTGTCTCAGTCTCTTTGTGGGTTAAATCACTTTTTGGTTGTACCGTCTCACTGCCGCTTCTGGCCAATCTGTCCGCTATTTCCTTGTCTTTCAAGCCACAGTGACCTGGAATCCACTGCAATACAGATTGTTCTACTGAAGAGACTAAGTGAATCAGCTGTTGCGTCAAGTCGACAGACTGCGGGTCATCTGGATTACAGATTTTTAATAGATATATCTGGAGAGAGAGAGAGAGAGAGAGAGAGAGAGAGAGAGAGAGAGAGAGAGAGAGAGAGAGAGAGAGAGAGAGAGAGAGATTCTGGAATTACAAACACCTGGATATATGACGCGAAAACGTCAAAGAAAAGCCCTACGATAAAAGTTGATGAGGCAGGCAAGTCTATTGGACGTGATTCCATTCTCTGTACCGAAATGGTCGCACAGGATAAACTAGAAATGAGGGATTAATTGCCAGCTCTGTTTGTTGAACAAAGGTACGATAGGATAAGATTGAGGATGATGGCGACGATCAGGCTTATGATGATAATGACGATGATGAGCATGATGATGATAATGATGATGGTTGCCTCAAAACATAATTTAGCCACTGACGTATATTTTTGTGAAAATATTCAGAGTGAAGACAGCATCAACTCCAACATCTCTACATTCCTAAAAATTCAGCGCATCTATCCCATAATATCTACTCTTGCTTTCGTTTCTATTTTGTGCTCAAGCCGATACAGGAATGTGCACACACACTGGCTCCTGTTCCCTTTCTGTTGCTATATTTAGCCCCGTGCCGGGAGGGAAACGAGTGCTTGGAAAATGAGTAACTTGTGTGGGCAATAGCAGGCGAGAAAAACAGAGGGCGCATACAAACACATTTCTTTAAAATGTGTTCACAAAACAGATGAAACTTGCAAAAACTGGGCATGGCGTACACAACCTAATCAAGCCAGTGATTTGTTGCGCCGCAATCCCCAGGTTTGGGCACTTAGGGTCCCTTGAACTCACCTCCCTCCTCCCCCACCCCCTCGAAAGGTTTATACGTTTTAAAGAGCTCAGCACCCCCCCCCCCCCATTTTATATAATTGCGTTAGAAAACAAATGTTCCTCTCCCCCCCCCCCCCCCCCCCCGTAAACCCCCCCCCCTCCTTCCACTCAACCCCAACCATGTATTGAAACTGTATTTTTGAGTTATCGTTTAAATACAGCCACGTTATTATTATTATTATTAACTTAAACAAGGCGTACGATACCTCGAGACCAGGCAGCACCCGAATATTAAAAAAGACATAATAAACGGTGATTAGTGCTAGCAACCATCAAACAACCATGCATAGATACATAAGTGTTCTGATCTCCTCCTCAGCAGCTACACGCGCGTACGCCAAATAGTCGCGCCCGTTCTGTTCTTATGATTCAAATATCTTGTTCTTTTGGTGGTATATTCATGCATGGCAGCTCAGGGTGAGTGGTCTCGGGGTATGGCATCCGCCTCGAGTGCTGGAGGTCCCGGATTCAAACCGCGGTGATGGCTGGGACTTTGTGACGTAGACTTCTAGTAATTTCACCTTGTCTTTGGGTGGTAAGACCGTCCGCCCGTGTGTATTGTTGCGTACATAAGAAAAAATACCCTGGCAGTTGGAAATCGTAAAAGAGTAGCCTAACGGCGCTGCCCGGGCGAAATTTGGAGTTTTAGGATCCTGAGCGGTGCAATGGAGTTTGTGCACTACGCGGAGATTTGTCAGACTCAGATATGAGTTAGAAGTAAAACAGAACAATTATGGGTTACACCGGTGTGTCATGATGTTGATCCGTGAAATAAATATAAACAGACTAAACTGCTCTGACTGTGGAATTTTACAGGGACGTTGTGGGCGTATCAGTGATTGCGTCGTTAAACCGTTTCCGCGCTCTGGTAAAGGTAATGCCTTCCCTTCACTGACTGCAGTATTCGGTTCACAAGTTCAGGTTTGAAGAGATCCCAGGAAAGATATAAACCCAAACGAAAAGTTTATCAGCGAGCTTCACAATATAACAAACACAAACAAAACGCGACCGTTGTGGTTATGAAACTTTCATCAACACTGCACAAATTAGACAATACAACACAAATACACAATATCACTTATCTTCGTATCTTGAAGCAGCCAGGTCGATGTCTAGCCAATAGACTGGCGGGACACGTGGGAACGGGGAAATAAAAATTCAGGGGAAAGCCGAAACTCGAGGATAAGATGAAACTGTGTAGATTGTCGCTGCGGCTACAGAGATCGGGTTTTTGCGACGCTCTCAGCGGGAGTTAGTCGTGGTGTCGAGCCACATAGATCAAATTCGGTGCAATAATCTTCTCGCTTTTAGACTTTAAACTCTGATATATAATCATCATAGTGGTAATCACTATTATCTGCTGTACAGATAAACATAGGCTGTAACATTTCGCCACCTCAAACGATCACCAGAGTCACAGATCACTTCAGTGTTCTGTCTCACCTCATCCACATGGCTAAACCATCTAGATAATTATCTCTTTGTCTTCCCTTTGCTATTTTCCTATCAATCCTGCTAATTGTTGCCAAATTCGCTTCCATTCTTTCTCATGACACAGGCATGTTGCCTAAAAGGGAGTCAACATCACAGCAGTTAATTACGTCAGCTGATTCTTCTTCTTCTTTGCGTTTTTCTGAATTCTGGCGGAAAGTCTTGTTTGTTCGTTTATTTGGACTTTGGTTTTGTAGTTTTGTACCAGAACCTGAGTAGTTTTTGTGTACGTCCGTTTTACTGGCTAATTTGTGCGCGATTCTTGTCCCCTGCCTCTCGGACAGATGTTCTCCGACTTCAATTCAACGTCAGCTGATAGTAACCGACTCCAACGATCACACAGTCATGTGAAGAGTCAGAATTACGAAGTTGGTGAAAGAAAACTTACAATTAAAGTGTATTGAACGTGTTAACGCGTGTAACTCTTCTTCTTCTGTTTCAGCATTCCAGCACTCGGTGTTTCAAATTAATCAAAGATGGCAGAAAACAGAGCGAAGAAATCTGGTCTTGGAGCTGATATTGAGAAGAAATTGGAATACGTAAGTTGATTTTACTACTGGGAAATTATTCCATTGAACTCTTGACTAAGAAGTTCAACACAGGCGGGAGAAGGAAAACACAGGCGGGAGAAGGAAAACACAGGCGGTAGAAGGAAAAACAGGCGGGAGGAGGAAAACACAGAAACAAACGGTGGTTTTGGCACCCACATTTACCGACAAAACTCCCATTTTTGCACCCCCTTAATTTTTTTTAATTTTTTTGTCGATAAAGGCTACTGTAAAATCGCCCGTTTGTTCCCGTGTATGTATTTGCCCATCTTCTTTAAGATTCTTAGTCAGAGTTCAGTGAATTAATGTCATGATAATGTCCTCACTTTAGAGCAGCTGTTGTATTTTGTCTAGGTGCTAGTCTGCGCATTCGAAGGCTGTGGGTTCAAATTCAGTAGGTGCTAGACTTTTTAAAAAGGACTTTGGCTTCCAGGTCGACAGCCTGAAATGGGTACAGGTAAAAGTCATGGGAAGTAAAGGCAGCTGGTGTAATGCTGACCACACCACCCTTCAGTTGCCGATTCGTCTATAAATTATTCTGTCCCTCTATGTTCAATTTGCCTGGAGGCGTGGAAATGGACCCTTGACCTTTTGTTAGCTTGTCTGCGATGACCCCTGTTGTTTGTGTCACTTTTGGTTTAACCATTCTCCGATTAGTGAAACAGTATATTGAAGCTGCACAAAGGGAATGTTGGGAACAGATATGAAAGAATACTAAAAAATATTTTGAAAGACATTAACTCTCGAAGATAAATGTCCACCCACAGCTGCATGAGGCAGTCAAGACTTTGGTCATGTCATGTGAAGAAGGCAGTCAAGACTTTGGTCATGTCTTGTGAAGGAGGCAGTCAGGACTTTGGTCATGTCTTGTGAAGGAGGCAGTCAAGACTTTGGTCATGTCATGTGAAGGAGGCAGTCAAGACTTTGGTCATGTCATGTGAAGGAGGCAGTCAAGACTTTGGTCATGTCTTGTGAAGGAGGCAGTCAAGACTTTGGTCATGTCATGTGAAGGAGGCAGTCAAGACTTTGGTCATGTCATGTGAAGGAGGCAGTCAAGACTTTGGTCATGTCTTGTGAAGGAGGCAGTCAAGACTTTGGTCATGTCATGTGAAGGAGGCAGTCAAGACTTTGGTCATGTCATGTGAAGGAGGCAGTCAAGACTTTGGTCATGTCTTGTGAAGGAGGCAGTCAATACTTTGGTCATGTCATGTGAAGGAGGCAGTCAAGACTTTGGTCATGTCTTGTGAAGGAGGCAGTCAGGACTTCGGTCATGTCTTGTGAAGGAGGCAGTCAAGACTTTGGTCATGTCATGTGAAGGAGGCAGTCAAGACTTTGGTCATGTCATGTGAAGGAGGCAGTCAAGACTTTGGTCATGTCATGTGAAGGAGGCAGTCAAGACTTTGGTCATGTCTTGTGAAGGAGGCAGTCAAGACTTTGGTCATGTCTTGTGAAGGAGAACACTGGAATGCATGTTGGAGAACAAGAGGGTCAGAGGGAGGCCAAGACAGAAGGTGATGGACAGTTTAAAAGTATGGCATAGAAATCATGTGTCAAAAATATTTGAAAAGATATAAAATGAAACCGAGAATAGACCAGCGAGCTTCACAGTGTAATACCACAGAAATGGAATCTGAACGTTGCGTCTACAGAACCTTCATCGGCACATTGCATAAATCAACAAAACCACGTGAACAGACACGAACACACAAAATTATTTAACTGACGTATTTTCGATAACTGCCATTTTGTTGTACGGTATTAATGAAAGATTTTGTGGTCGCCAGCAGTATAAAACCAACGTTTGAAAATACACGAGACAGAGGGCTGTGACTGGAGAGGAATTGTAATTCTAAGGTGCCGTGCTCGTTTTTAACCGCTGCTGATTTTGCAACAGACCGCCCTGCATTGGTTTCGACAGTGCTGTAGAGAGCAGACTGTACAGTAGGCAATGACAAACTACTTAAGGTAACATTGATTAGTGAAATTACGAAGTGAAATTACGAACATACGAAAGAAAACGTTGAGGTTGGCTCTGCAACATCTTATGAAAAAGGGGGGGGGGTGGAAAAAAAGGTGGGGGGAGGGGTATGGGGGATGGAGATCATTGCTATAGTCTCAGTCGAAAGGTGCTCTACATAGAGACTGAGTCATGTGTGATAAACTCTCAGCGCATTAAGGTCGATCCTGTCCTTCAAACAGTTGTACAGTTTATCTTCATTATGTGTCCACAGCGTTATGACCAGGAGGAGGCAGCCGGAACGATGACCGCCGTCATGAACTGGGTCAACGCCGTCACCGCAGGGGAACACGAACCAATCGTAAGTTATTCTTCTGATCTCTGTTGCATGTCTCCAAGTGTGGTCTCAATCGTTTCTGGTCCTGGATGAAGAGGTGCTGAACCGCAAGTGCTTGTGCACCAGAACCTGAATTCATCACCGTCAGTATCTATCTTCACCTCTTCGCGGTTCTCCTAGAACAGTGGTTCGCAACTTTCCTAATGCCGTGACCCTTTAATACACCTCCTCATGTTGTGGCAACCCCCCAACCATACACTTATTTTCGTTGCTTTTTCAAAACTTCAATAAATATACGTTTTCCGATGGTCTAGGCGACTCCTGGGAAAAAGCCGTTCGACCCGAAAAAGAGTCAAAACCCCTTAGGTTGAGAACCTCTGTCCTAGACACAGGTTTCCTGTCGTAGACCTGGTTAACGTATAGACTAGACATGATCGACTTTTACTTTGAATGAGGGGTGCGTCTGCCTGGGAAACAAGGACTCGTCAATCTGTACACATCTATCCCAGATTTGAAAAATGTATGTTCGCGCAACACTTAAGTCATGGACTTAGAACTGAAGTCAAGGACAGGTGAACAACTAGAACTTTCCGCCGCAGTTTACAGCCGGTGAATCTTCGGAAGAAGATTTCTGATGCAGAAATCATACAAGTAAACAGTCTATATCTTCTGTTTTGGTCTTCATCTGCTACTCTTACCCCCCCCCCCCCTCTTTCCCCTCCCCTAAACCAGTAACATTGTGAATTGTTTCAGCATTCCCGTTCTGATGCGGGTAATCGCGTCTCTTTGAGAGATATTCTTTCTGAGATGCACTGAGAAACTCTTTCAAGACGTTCTTTATTCTCTCTGTCCCTTCCTCTCTCTCTCTCTCTCTCTCTCTCTCTCTCTCTCTCTCTCTCTCTCTCTCTCTCTCTCTCTCTCTCTCTCTCTCTCTCTCTGTCGTTGTGTTTTCATGTTGTGTTCTTAACATTTATCTATAAAGTAACATCACTGAAGCGTTCCCATAATTTCTCACTAACATACTGACTGTCCATGATTCACTTCCGTACACCGTGATAAAATGTAAACAACTTATTCAGTTATAAATTCTTGTGTTGTAGGATTTTAAGTTAAAAAGTTTCCCATGCCTGTCTTGTGTACTCACAGTTATTCTTCTCTTCGCGACCACACACCCATATATATACACACACACACATACACACTCACACAAACTCCCACACTGCACACGATTATTGTTTTTGGAGCCGTTACATTATATGTGGGCACAGGATATAAGTGACTCCTTGAGAATGAAAGTGCGTAAGATGGGAGAGGTGGCGAGAGACCAAGTTTCTTTCAGGCAGACCGTAATGAGAGCGACGTTCTGCAAAGGACCTGCTACTTGATGATAATGATGACTTTATAATGTGGTCGTCTGCTTGCTCTGTGTCCATTGTATTTCATCAGTGTGAATCTCTGTCCCAGTTGGTACCAGGACCTTCTCGTCATTTGACCAAACCTTCTAATTCGTTGCTCTTGAATTAGTGTATAAATAGCTTTAGCCTTAGTCTTATCCATTTGTTCCCATTTTTAAAATTAATTTGATCTACTTTTGTTACGCTTATTTGGAAGCGGCGGAGATGTGGATTTATACACGAATGATGAGAATTCACTGCACAGATAAAGAGAGTAATGAAGATGTATGGGGGAGAAAAAACTAGCTTACAAAGAGATCTGATTACACACATCAGTAAGAAATAATCTACATTCTTTGGTCTTCTCATGAAAAGGAGAAAACTGGAGTACCTTGTGCCAGCAGGAAAGTTGGAGGGGAGGAGAGGCAGAGGGAGACCTAGAGAAAAGATGCTAGACAGTGTGACATCATGGCATGGAGGATCATTTGTGTCAAGAGTTGGCTAAAAAACACGAGACAGAAGAATGTGGATAGTCATACTACCAGCGTCACATTGCATGCACTTTATGAAAAAGAACTCTTGCTACTTTAGCAGCTTTTCTGAGTACTGTCAAATCTGTCGTTATAATTATGCGCGCTTTAGTTGTAGTAAGGGTCAAAGTTAAACACTAAATGGCTGCCTCTAGTTCAACTGTCTACAACTATGTCTCGTTCTAGGCCAACCAGTCACAGAAGGAGTTGCACCGAGCGTTGAGAGACGGTGTCATGCTGTGCAAGTAAGTCTGCACGTAACTTGGTGATTTAACTTCAACCTTCTCTATGGCATGACCTGTATGCACAGCCGCGGGCTCAAGACTGGCTGAAATAAACTTGTCTGCAAAACTTAAGCTTTTCTTACATTCATTCCTCATAATGCATAGTTTAAATGCAGTTTTATATCTTCTTTTACAGGGTGATTTTTTACATAAACATGAGTTTTCTTAGAATCAACCTGACAGTGTATAACTCTGTTTCTCAACCTTTAGTGTTTTTTTAATACCCGGGGACCACCAAAATAGTTGAAACTGTTTCATGGTCCACTAAAACAGTGGAAATTGTTTCATGACCCACTAAAACAGTGGAAATTGTTTCATGACCCACAAAAACAGTGGAAATTGTTTCATGACCCTCTAAAACAGTGGAAATTGTTTCATGACCCACTAAAACAGTGGAAATTGTTTCATGACCTACTAAAACAGTGGAAATTGTTTCAAGACCCACTAAAACAGTGGCAATTGTTTCATGACCCACTAAAACAGTGGAAATTGTTTCATGACCCACTAAAACAGTGGAATTTGTTTCATGACCCACTAAAACAGTGGAAATTGTTTCATGACCCACTAAAACAGTGGAATTTGTTTCATGACCCACTAAAACAGTGGAAATTGTTTCATGACCCACTAAAACAGTGGAATTTGTTTCATGACCCACTAAAACAGTGGAATTTGTTTCATGACCCACTAAAACAGTGGAAATTGTTTCATGACCCACTAAAACAGTGGAATTTGTTTCATGACCCACTAAAACAGTGGAAATTGTTTCATGACCGACTAAAACAGTGGAATTTGTTTCATGACCCACTAAAACAGTGGAATTTGTTTCATGACCCACTAAAACAGTGGAAATTGTTTCATGACCCACTAAAACAGTGGAAATTGTTTCATGACCCACTAAAACAGTGGAAATTGTTTCATGACCCACTAAAACAGTGGAATTTGTTTCATGGCCCACTAAAACAGTGGAATTTGTTTCATGACCCACTAAAACAGTGGCAATTGTTTCATGACTCACTAAAACAGTGGAAATTGTTTCATGACCCACTAAAACAGTGGCAATTGTTTCATGACCCACTAAAACAGTGGAAATTGTTTCATGACTCACTAAAACAGTGGAAATTGTTTCATGGCCCACAAAAACAGTGGAAATTGTTTCATGGTCCTCTAAAACAGTGGAAATTGTTTCATGGTCCTCTAAAACAGTGAAAATTGTTTCATGACCCACTAAAACAGTGGAAATTGTTTCATGACCCACTAAAACAGTGGAAATTGTTTCATGGCCCACAAAAAACAGTGAAAATTATTTCATGACCCTCTAAAACAGTGGAAATTGTTTTATGACCCACTAAAACAGTGGAAATTGTTTCATGACCCACTAAAACAGTGGAAATTGTTTCATGACCCACTAAAACAGTGGAATTTGTTTCATGACCCACTAAAACAGTGGAAATTGTTTCATGACCCACTAAAACAGTGGAAATTGTTTCATGACTCACTAAAACAGTGGAAATTGTTTCGTGACCCACCCGACAATTAAGCAAGGACGAAACAGAAACACATGTAGATAGCAGTTTATTTATTAAAGCTGATGTCACAAAACTACAATTTTCAGCGAAGGCAACATCTGCTGCCGGTTAGAGATTAAAATATATACAATAACATCCATTCGATTTCTTCGGTTTGGCTTCTATTATTGACTTGTCAGAGAAAGTCTTTTCACAGAATTAGGAGATCCTTCAGATGTTAATCCCACAGACTAAATGGGAGAAAAAAAAATTACGCACACAATCTCGTTGCATGATTAAGCAGAATTTGTGCTGGCCCAGAGAAACCTTTCCGCCGCCGCCAGTGGGCCACTGCCTACGACTTGAAGAACACTGGTGTAAAAGTATACTATATATAACGCGGACATAATAGGGTTGTACGTGTGTTGGTTGTTCGTTGTTCCCCTCCAGGACTGCTGTCCGTATAAGACTAAAACCGTGTGTGGCATACAGGAAAAGCTCCGAGAAACCCACGCAGCTGTAGAACAGTTCCATTAGGGCACTGGTGCGGTTACGAAGACTGTTGGAGTTTGGATTATATTACTTGCAACATTAAATATGAAGTTTATAATTTCGACATATTACGAAAATAAAAATTTATAAAGTTTATAATTTGGACACAGAATAAAAGGATTGTGATTGCTATTATCACATCACTTCTGATAGATCAGTATGAGTTTTGATCTCATCAAGTGTAGCTCGAGAAGCGTAAAATAACTGCTGTTTCCTAACATGTTTGTTAATTAAATAACTTGTTTAGTGTTGTATAGGAAATTTTTTCACGCCTTCAAACTACTGGGCATATAAGGCTAGACCTATATTTTATAGACCCATCGGAATTTGGTGGGTGATGTTCTCAACATTACATCGGTCGCCATTACTTCCTAGGACTTTTCCTGGTACCAGGTTAAGGCCGCGTTGACATAAGAGCCAAGATCATTTTTGAAAAAAAAAGTCTAGCTCCGTTTGGAATCGAACCTACGACCATTGGATCCAAAGGTGAGTCATGTAGCCACTACACTACAGCGGCTACCAGAATGGTTTGTAGCATTTGTGACATCTTTATGGTAGGTCGTTGTAGTGTCTCCTGAACTCCCTCATCTTAATCCTGATCTGTTACTAAAACACCGATATGAGCAGTGATGTTTTAAACTAACGGATGCTGGAAGATGACGTGTTCATAAATTTAATTGAAATAGGCAAATATTTTATTTTTAAAAATCTACAGTCATTAAATATACAACCTGATTAAATCAGTATCGAAGGATAGTACAAGTGTAAATTTTATCGTTCTCATGTTTGTTCTATAAATAAGTATAAAATGTTAGTACAAGTGTAAATCATGTTGTCTTTATGTTTGTTCTATATAAATACGTATAAAATTATAGTACAAGTGAACATATGTTGTCCTAATCTTTGTTCTATATAAATAAGTATAAAATGATAGTACAAGTGTAAATTGTGTTGTTCTCATGTTTGTTCTATATGTAAGCATAAAATGATAGAACAAGTGTAAATGTGTCGTTCTCATGTTTGTTCTATATACATAATTATAAAATGATAGTACAGGCGTAAATTATGTTGTCTTTATGTTTGTTCTATAAATAAGTATAAAATGATAGTACAAGTGAATATTATGTTGTCTTTATGTTTGTTCTATATAAATAAGTATAAAATGATGGTACAAGTGAACATTATGTTGTCTTTATGTTTGTTCTATATAAATAGGTATAAAATAATAGTACAAGTGTAAATTGGGTTGTTCTCATGTTTGTTTTATCAATAAGTACAAAATGACAGTACATGTGTACATTATGTTGTTCTCAGGTTTGTTCCTTGCTCTTATAAATGCTTTATTGTTTCAGAACCGCTTCTTTAATGTCTGCATTCTCTCGATGGACTAACTAAAACATAATCGCTCGCTAATGCTTTGTGTCAGTTGTCAACGCAGTGTGAGTACAGGATCTGTTGTGTTCTGGCTCCGTTGGATCGCTCTTTAATAACTTTGGTGCATGCCTAATGCTACTTTGTGTGGCTTCTTGTTTATGCTAAAGTTGATTGCATATTTTTCTTCTACAGGACGGCGAGAATAAGCCTCTGAATTGTTCGGCTGTTTATGGTTTTAAAAAGGATTTTTTTTTTTTTAAATTTCGCGGTTTGCCATTTAAGAATTCAAAAGGGGTGAAAAAATGAAAGAAATGTCTGGCCGACCCCTGTTGTCATCAAGATGGCCTTATTCTAGACACATACTGAAAATAGATGGGGGGGGGGGGGGGGGGGGGGAAATGATCAAAGAGGCAATTATCCATTTACAATGAACCATCCATTATTGGAAAAAAACATTTGAACACACTCTTTCCACTGTGAGCAGAATCGGCTGTAATTGCTGTCTGGTTACTGTGTGCTAAGTATGCGATAGGCAAGAGTAGGTAAGTTTTACCCCACTAGGACATCACACAGAGCGATATACACTCTGTGACCCAAAGTGCCATCATGCAAATGATGATCACCCGTGTAGAGGTCTCGGAAACCACATTCAAGCTTTAGGTTCTAATAGAGGCCCGGCGACAGCAAGAAAACTGGTGACTGAGGGATTGAGGAAAGTGAGGTACAAGAGAAACCCTGAAACGAGGCCAAATATTCTGGACTGGATTGTATTCTTGATATCAAAGTGATTGTATCAGATAGAACAGAATGGATAAATCAACTGCAGGCCCCATAGGACCAAAATTGCCCAACAGGACAATGAATGAATGTAAGTTTGCCATTCCATAGCACAAACTATAGCAGTTTTGTGAGAGCATCAAATGGAAGGTACGGAAAGAATCATGACAGCAAGCACAAGATGTCAAAGGACAACCTGGAGTTAAAAGTTCACGAGGGTCAAAGTTGGCCAAAAAAAAAAAAAAAAGGCTCTAAAAATAACATGCTACATGATGATAATGAGTTTGTAATTGTTATCTCAACGTTTTGACTCTTATACCATTTTCAAAATCAACTGACAGCGGTCTGTTGCCAAATCGCTTATAGTTAACTTCAAACCTGTGTACGTAGGAATTATGAAATTGCATTCATATTCCCAAATGCACAGTCATCTTCCTTCCTTATGTACATTTACAATTTGGTTATCAGTTATAGTACTGCAGTTGAGTGTTCAGGAGTGAGCTAGAGTATCATATTATTCATTATCATCATCAGTTTCCATTTCTACCATTAGGCGTTGTGGGGACGAACAGTTTGTGATCCGTTACTTGATGGGCACCAATGGCTATTGTCACTCCGTGTCGATATAAAAGCTCTTTAATGTCATCAATCCATGTTTTCCTAGGGCGGCCCCTTGATTTCACTTCAGATCTTTAAATGTGTAGTGCCTGCATTGGTAGTTGTTCTGGCTGCATTCTTACTCAATGACCAAACCATTTGATCTTCTGTTTTTCAATGAATTTGCTGCATGGTGTTGTTATCATATTGTTACTGACCGTAAGTTATATGCTAATGAAGGATTTTTAGCCGTAACGTTGATTTTATCATTCGTCGTTGTGTCTTATTGTGCGGCTCGCTAGCGCAGTTGGCTAAACCAGACTGAGCGGCGATAGGGTGACGAGCTTCTTGTGATCTGGTCCGGGTTCACGCCCGGGGGTAGGCAGAAAAGCCACATTTCTTCCAGATTTACGGTTGTATCCTAGAATCAAGGCCGAAAGGTTGCGATATCCTTAGTACCGAGCCAAAGGGTTAACAGCTCTTGAATACTTAAAAAAATTTTCTTTTATATATTGTTCAGTTAAGAGGCGAAGGTATTGGATTAACTATGAGAAGACAGAGGGCATAAGAAAATGAAGTCTGCAGCTGTGACGTTAGTCACAATACCCATCGAGCGCCAGTTGTCCTGCTGGGTATTCTATAAGTTCCCATACCTAAGAGGAAATAAACGTGCTTATACGCGTTCTGCAACAAGTGGAGGGCCAGGTTCGAAATGTGTTTCAACATAATGGGATTCCAGGTTTGAGGTTTGAACAACGGATCAACATCATGGCACACAGGTAGTAAGCCACAAGTGCTCCGTTCTTCTTCTAACTCACGTCTGAGTCCAAAGAAGCCCATCACAGTGCACCGACTTTGTAGCACCGTCGAGAATCCGGAAATACTTTGGGTAGATTTTAAACTCCAAATTTTGTCCGGACATTGCCGTTAGGCTACTCTTTTAGATTTTCAGCTGCAAGAGATTTTTTTTACGTGCGCAACAATGCACACGGGCATCTGATCTCACTACCCAGCGACCAAGGGGAATTACTAAAAGTCAAAATCCACATGAAAAAATCCCAGCCCTTACCGGAGATTGAACCCGGAACCTCTAGCACTATAGACCATGATGTTTATCCGTTGTTCAAAACCTCAAACCTATTTGATGTTCATCAGTTTCCCCAAAGATTTGTTTTCCAGCGCATCAGACGTGTGTCATTGTTCTCCGACTTTCAGAGTCATTTCTTACAACGGAAATAATATCAGAATGTGAAATACTTAATTTGGTTTTACAACTATATAATTTAGAGTTCCATACTTTATCCAGTTGAGTTGAGTTGAGTTGAGTCAAGAATTGACATCCCAGCACTCGGGGCATTCCCATGCGTGCTCCGTCCTCATCTTTATCAGCTAGCACAGAGTTCCAGTACTAATGGTACCGGTCATAATCTGGTTACATATCCGTCTAGCCTTCCCTCTGAGTGTACTGAGCTGGCCAGAAACTCTGGTTACACCCAGGTGTCTCATTCTCTCCAGGCCATAAAAATCACGTTTCTCTACTGATTCCGTTTCTTGTTCCCAAAGTGCCCTGACCAAATCGGCCTTGTCATGTATCAGTTCACCACCCAGTGGTGCAGATCCAGACAATTTATCTGCCTGCTCATTACCCACCACACCGGCATAGCCTGGAGAAAGGATCCCAAGTATGCTCACTAGCCGTGACCTTCCCAGTGGAGCTTGCCACTCTGCTCGAAGCATCCCTGTCTTCACCTTTCTCAGCACGTTTTCAGTCTATATTTTGTATCCAGTCTTTTAAAAACTGCTGTTGTGTTTCCAGTGCGTATCATAATTCATCTCTTTGTGTTACCTCGATAAGTAAAGTTACTAACTAAACCAGTATATTGATTTGTTGCTTTAATTTCTTGTGTCTCTGGTAAAACGTCTGCTTTAACAGTTATTGATGCGTTTAATACATTATTCGTTTCATACGTGGTTTGAATTACCTTTGTGATGCAATGTTTGCTAAATCATTGATTTTTTTATTTATTTATTTATTTACGAAACTTTTGGTGCCATTAGCACAGCCCATTTCAATGTTGACTGACTTTCTACCCCACCAGGACATCACACAAGCGACAAACACCCGATGACACAAAGTACCACCATGCGGATGAGGATCGCCGTGGAGAGGTCCCAGAAACCGCGTTCAGACACTTGGCCATATGTATGGCCTGCCTATATTGCGGCCCCTGGCAAAAGCCAGAGTAGGGCTTCAAATGACAAAAAATTTCGTCCTAAAAAGGACGGAACTGAATTATTTCAATGTTACTGTCACCGAATAAGTCGCCTCCAGTGCCATGTATTCTCATTCTTCTGTTGAATCTTTTACAACGTAATGTCTCATCTCACATGCTTTCTATCTTTCGTTGATTTGACTTATTTAACTACCTTGTGGAGGGTATGTATTCTCATTTGAGTGTCTAATCTTTCGTTGTACCCCAGGCTAATCAACAAACTGCTGGCAAGTGAGGGAAAGAATAAAGTCAGCTTCCAAAAGAAGGTTGCATCCCCTTTTGTTGCAATGGGAAACATTGAATCGTATAACAAAGGCGCTGCTGAATATGGGCTCAGTAAAGAGTTCCTTTTCCAGGTACGTGACACCTGTTTGGTTTTGATTTATAAATTTAAGTTTGTACGTGTGGATTCCACGGTCTTCCATTTCTAGATGAAAGAAAAAGAAATGAAGTCTCCTTCTCCTCGTCCTCCTCCACTTACACCTTCTCTGTTAACTCATTTCATGTTTAACCCTCCCTCTTCTATGTAACTAAAGAAATTCATAACTAAGTTAAAACATGTGATACATTATCTTCAGCACTCAGTCGTACTCATGAATGACTCCAAAGTTTAGTTTCATTGTGTCCTCATTCAGTGGTAATTTACTGCCTGAATTCTGATAGTACTCCTTTACTTAATTTCAGAGTGGTGACTTGTGGGAAGGACGTAAAGGACCGTTTTTGAACGTCATCAATGGCATCCACAGTTTAGGGTTTTTGGTAAGTGATACAAGGTCTCTTGGTCATTTTATGTCAGAAGTGGAGTTTTTGTTTACGAGCTACACAAAAGCCAACCCGGATTTATAAGGTGTTTCAGATCTACACAAGAGTCAATGAAGAAGCGTCTGTCCCAAAACTGACTAGCAGTATACACGACAGAAGGTGGCAGAAAAGCGACAGGCTGCATGGTGTAAACTTGGCGTACCGTTGCGAAAAAATATGTTTGTGTGTACGCGCGTGAAGAGTAGAGCAAACACTCTTAATGACCCCACCCTGCCCCTTCCCCGTTCCTCCCAGCTTTCAATGCAAAAGTGAGATAATTTTATGTAGTAATGGCAATTGGCTGGGACTGTTGGATTGATTTGTCGGGTTTTGACACTGTCCTAAATATCTCCTTTTGATTTATCGCGGTCTCACGATAGAAATTATATAAATAAGGGGCACTGACTTAAATTCAAGGGGGGGGGGGGGGGGTGTTAAGGGCCGTAATATATGAGGAAATTCTTGAACAGAGAACGTATGCATATGTTAAGTGTTGGGTGGGGGTGAGACAAAGCTAGCTGATGGTTCACTTCCCCTCCCCTCTTCCACCCCCACCCACCCCTAAATTATTACTTGTTTGTTGGGGTGGGGTGAAGGTTGAAGGTTCCCGAGTTTCCATGTTCTAGATGACAAGACTAACGAAATAATTCAGCTTTATTTTCATGATTGTTTCCCTTAGGCCAACTCCAAAGGCTTCCAGCCCGCATACACAGGACAGCAGACCAAGTTGCTGGATCTGGAGTAGACCCAAACACTATCAGTTTTCTAGAAATCAGCTGAACTTCGATGTAGCTCTCCTTCCTGTCCTCGGCAATCATCGATTTCCGTGAACCGCGGTGTTCACAAAAGATCGTGGGAATGTCCAAGTCATGCCCTTGCGTTCTGCAAATGCAAGTCTAACATTATTTGAAGCTATTTCTAAAACTTTTTTTTCTTTTATAAGTTATCTTCGTTTGTCATTGTCATTTTTGCTATAAAATATGTCTATCGCAACTGTCTCGTGCTCTGCCCATTATGATGTCATCATAACAATGATAGTTCTACTTGATTTATTTAATTATTTTTTATAACTCTGTAGTACCAACTTTAACTAACTGTATCAGATGAAATTGATGCTTAACTCGATATCTCCTTCGAAGTCTTAATTTAACTATTTCTCTTATAAATAATTGGTTCTTTAACCCCGAGTATCCTATGAGGTCGTTACGTTAACTCCTCGTATCGAATCCTGTGTAGTTAGTTTAAGTACTTGATGTTTGGGCCTTAATGAGAATGATCAGGTGATCTCCCTCACGTGAAAAGAGAGCAAACAGAAACAGTTGCATATCCATTACAGGACGTTGCATAACCAGCTTCAGCACGTGTTGCATGTTTTGGTTTTGCTGCTAGACAATATTATATTAAATGGTGGGCCTTTGCCCTGACCAGACGGGTATCGATACCAGTATCGAAATCAACTTACTGCGGTCTTCTGCCACATCGCCTGCAGACAGAAACTGACCGGGTACCTCAGAATTACAAAGCGCGTTCGCTTACCAAAAGTAAATTAATACAACACAAATTGTGGCTAGAGATTTAAAAAGCACAGAAGGAAACAAGAAAGACGAACACATATTTAACCGAAGGTTTCTTTCAGTTTTCTTTATTAAGGAATATATCAACAGAAGTCATAAGTCACAACGAAATAACAAGAAGATCACCATTATAGTGCAACAATTATCGTTTTTTTTTTTCCCCCGGAAATTGAGAAGTGGCGGACAAAGTGGTAAATTTACAGATATTATTGGAAGTTTGTTTTAGTCAGACATTTTTAAAAAAATAGTTACATGATATGAGAAAGAAAGGTATATGAGCATTAAAACTATATGCTCATTAAAATCATTTTAAAAAAAAATACTTTCTTGTCTGAAATTATATGTCGCCATATGCTTTTGTTTCATACCTGGAAATGCGAATATATTAAAGTATAAATATATTTTGTGATTGTTTATTTTATTATTTCTATTCTTCTGCTTTAGTGCTTTCCTAAAACATAATCGGGGTGTATTTAATCAACGTGTCTTCTTCTTGTTCACGTTCTTCTTTTTCTTTCTTCTTCTTCTTCTTCTTCTTCTTCTTCTTCTTCTTCTTCTTCTTCTTCTTCTTCTTCTTCTTCTTCTTCTTCTTCTTCTTCTTCTTCTTCTTCTTCTTCTTCTTCTTCTTCTTCTTCTGCTGCTGCTGCTGCTGCTGCTGCTGCTGCTGCTGCTGCTGCTGCTGCTGCTGCTGCTGCTTCTGCTGCTGCTGCTGCTTCTTTCTTCTTCTTCTTCTTCTTCTTCTGCTGCTGCTGCTGCTTGCTGCTGCTTCTTCTTCTTCTTCTTCTTCTTCTTCTTCTTCTTCTTCTTCTTCTTCTTTCTTCTTCTTCTCTTCTTCTTCTTCTTCTTTCTTCTTCTTCTTCTTCTTCTTCTTCTTCTTCTTCTTCTTCTTCTTTCTTCTTCTTCTTCTTCTTCTTCTTCTTCTTCTTCTTCTCCTCCTCCTTCCTTCTTCTTCTTCTACTTCTTCTTTCCCTTCTTCTTCTACTTCTTCTTCTTTCTTCTTCTTCTTTCTTCTTCTTCTTCTTCTTCTTCTTCTTCTTCTTCTTCTTCTTCTTCTTCTTCTTCTTCTTCTTCTTCTTCTTCTTCTTCTTCTTCTTCTTCTTCTTCTTCTTCTTCTTCTTCTTCTTCTTCTTCTTCTTCTTCTTCTTCTTCTTCTTCTTCTTCTCTTCTTCTTCTTCTTCTTTCTTCTTCTTCTTCTTCTTCTTCTTCTTCTTCTTCTTCTTCTTCTTCTTCTTCTTCTTCTTCTTCTTCTTCTTCTTCTTCTTCTTCTTCTTCTTCTTCTTCTTCTTCATTTTCTGCTTCTGTTTCTCCTCCTCCTCCTCCACCTCCTCCTCGACCTGCTTCTTCTTCATTTTGTTCTCCTTCTCCAAATTCTCCTCTTCCTTCTACCCACTTCTTCCCTATTTTCCCCCTTCCCCTCCCGAGAAACCGGAGAGAAGCGGATTAAAACAATCAAGAACAAGAAGTACAAGGGGAAAAAAAAAAGATGTAATGGAAGAATAAGTTTGTTTTTGTCGTTGCTAGTTTTCATCTTCTCATGAAGCGTGGAGTCTCTGCTCGATTCGTCATGCTTTCCTGTATCGTCTCCGAGTTCCGTGGACGCAGGTGTAGGAACTTTTCCGTGTAGGAACTTTTCCGTGTAGGAACTTTTCCGTGTAGGAACTTTTCCGTGTAGGAAACTCGGAGACGTGTTCCTGTAGCGTGGCACCTGAAAATGCTGAGCATGTGCTCGAACACTGTCAACTGTATGTTGACAACAAAGACGCAATCTGGCCTGTTCCAGCTAAAACTATATAGTACACCAGAGGATATGGACTGCACGATAACTTTCATACCGGCCTTCTGATGTTAGTTTTCTGACAAGGATCAGAGAAGAAGAAGAAGAAGAAGAAGAAGAAAAGAAGAAGAAGAAGAAAGAAGAAGAAGAAGAAGAAGAAGAAGAAGAAGAAGAAGAAGAAGAAGAAGAAGAAGAAGAAGAAGAAGAAGAAGAAGAAGAAGAAGAAAGAAGAAGAAAAAGAAAGAAGAAAGAAGAAGAGAAGAAGAAGAAGAAGAAGAAGAAGAAGAAAGAAAGAAGAAAGAAGAAGAAGAAGAGCAGAAGAAGAAGAAGAAAGAGAAGAAGAAGAAGAAAAAAGAAGAAGAAGAAGAAGAAAGAAGAAGAAGAAGAAGAGAAGAAGAAGAAGAAGAAGAAGAAGAAGAAGAAGAAGAAGAAGAAGAAAAAAAGAAGAAGAAGAAGAAGAAGAAAGAAGAAGAAGAAGAAGAAGAAGAAGAAGAAGAAGAAGAAGAAGAAGAAGAAGAAGAAGAAGAAGAAGAAAAGAAGAAGAAGAAGAAGAAAGAAGAAGAAGAAGAAGAAAGAAGAAGAAGAAGAAGAAGAAGAAAGAAGAAGAAAGAAGAAGAAGAGAAGAAGAAGAAGAAGAAGAAGAAGAAGAAGAAGAAGAAGCAGAAGAAGAAGAAGAAAGAAGAAGAAGAAGCAGAAAAGAAGAAACAGAAGAAACAGAAAACAGAAGAAGACTTGCGCGGTCGTTCATTCAATGCTAGCCCGTCAGTCACTGTCGTCGCCCACAATAGGTCCATAGCCACACAGACTCTGACACTGAAGTTACTGATAATTAGTAGAATAGTCTAAAATTTGGAAACATAATAATACTTTGATTTATCTCCACATCACTATTGTAGTATATACGGGATTGTACTGCTGTGTAATTGTTCCCGCTATTGTGGTAGAATATGTGTATGACCTAATATTTATATATCGCAACTGGTGATTGGATCAAGGACCCTCCTTGTCTAAAACTCCAAAGACTGGGCGTAGTGGAGTACTGCTGCATTGTGGGACGGAAGCGAAACTGACGGATAATGTATTGGATTAAAAATTAACTGTAGCAACAAATTCAGAAAGCAGTGGCAAACTCTCTCTCTCTCTCTCTCTCTCTCTCTCTCTCTCTCTCTCTCTCTCTCTCTCTCTCTCTCTCTCTCTCTCTCTCTCTCTTCTGCCTTTCTATCCCCCAATGGAGCATAGGCCCTCAGCCAACTCACGCCAAGTCGTTCTATCCTTCGTCATTGCATGGAGCTCTCCCCATGTCCTCCCCATCTTTCTAACTTCGTTCTCCAGCTCTCTTCTCACCGTGTTTTTTGGCCTTCCTTTATTCCAATGCACCTGTAGGTTCCAGTGCAAAGACATTCTAGTTATGCTGTTCTCCTGTTTTCTCGGTGTGTCCCATCCAACGCCAGCGTCTTTTCCTCACCTCTTGGTCCACTGGAGCCTGTTTAGTTCTCTCCGAAAGCTCTACATTAGTGATTCTATCATACCATTTTATTCCCTCTGTTCTGCGCAGGCACCAGTTAATGAATGTCTGTATTTTATTAGTAATTACCTTAGTTGTTCTCCATGTTTCCGTGGCAAACTGAACGTAAATTAGCCAAGAAAAACCACAACAGCCAAAAAATGCTGAGGTTGGTTTTGCAATTTCCTGTAAAGGATACGCAGCTAACTTTTTTTTAAGCAGCAAAGCCGTTCAAACAAACACGGCTAGATCACAAACACGCGCAGGGTAGGGCCTAAGGAATGATTGACTGGGGGATCTTGTTCACTTCCTCTGGTCGATTATTTGTCTGACGTCAAGTTCGGTGACTGCAACAACAAAAACAGTAACAGATAACCTAGATTGTTACCAACTTCAGAGAGTCAACAAGAAGCCAGAGGACAGGCGGCGGGAAACCTTAAACACTCTTGATGATGTTAATGTCAAATGTTCTGTCTGTTAATAACAATGAACAATAATAGTTACTCTCGAGACAGGGCAGTGATTATGATGTTTGCCCTCTAATCCTATGGCCGTGTGTTCGAATCAACACTGAAGCAGAAATTTTAATTAGAGCCAGGACTCGAAAGTCGACCCAGTTTAAAATACAACTAGATACCAAACAATTCTTTGAAAAGTAAAGTCATTAAAGTGACCATATTACTTACCATCAGTGAGTTGGTATATAAAAAAATGTGAGGCTAGCATTATATAGATACTAAACTGGCTGATACTTTCGCTTTTCTCGTTGCAAGTATAGTCCTGATTACAAACTAACCTTGTCCCGCCTTCGGCGCATACCATTATATAGTGCTAGAACTATATTTTTATAAACTAATCCGCACTCAATAGGTTGCGTGGTGAGTGTTGAACTA